CGAATAGTTCGTTGAGCGTTCGGTTCGTTTATAGCCCTAGTCAAAAGTCAAAATACAAAAATTCAAATATGCATCAATGTATCAACTTATCAATGCATTAACTTATGATATGCAAGTAACCGTTTCACAATTTATACACACATGCACTGTTGTCAACTAGTGAAATTGTGACAAGTATCATATTTGAATAATATTAATTATATTTTAATGCACTTGTCATCACTTCAAATTGATTGGAAGATTAGTAAGAAGAAAAGTAGAAAGATATTTAATTTCTCTAATGAAAACTATAAATTATAGAATTGAAACTATAAAAAATTAATATTAAAAATTAAATGGACAAAATCTATAGTTATTGAAATTAAAAATCTATAGTTACAAACTATAACTCTTTGATTTTATGCAGCAAAATTCCAACTGTTTGAAGGAATTAAAATGGCTTCTCGTAGCAACAAGTTAGCTACTCTCGGTTTTGAAGTTGTGGAGTCTCTTGAGGCGGTCTTTTCGGCGGATGAAATTAAGGAAGTTGTTTGGGATTGTGGTGGAGATCGAGATCCTGGTTCGGATGAGTTCTCTTTTCAATTTCTGAAACATTATTGACATATTTTGGGTTATGATGTGGAAGCTTTTGTGCAAGAATTTTTTCATAAACTGGTCATTCGTGTTAGTTGCAACTCCTCTTTTATTACTTTAATTCCAAAGGTGGTTAATTCCTTGTTGGTTAATGACTTTAGACCTATTAGCCTTATCGGTTTGCAATTTAAAGTAGTGGCGAATATCTTAGCTAAAAGGTTTTCTTTGGTTCTTCATGATGTCATTGGGATCGAGCAATCTGCCTTTCTTAAGGGGAGACAGATTTTGGATGGGCCGTTGATGGTTAATGAGATTGTTTCTTGGTTCAAAAAAAAAAAAAAAAACTCTTGATCTTTAAGGTGGATTTTGAGAAGGCGTATGCTGTTTGGATCAAGTTATGAGATTTTTGGGTTTTGGAGATTGATGGAGGTCTTGGATTAGAGGTATGTTCAAGAATGCTCAATCTTCAATTCTTATTAATGGTAATCCGACAGATGCATTCCAGTTGTTTAGAAGGTTGAGACATGGGATCCTATCTCTCATTTTCTGTTTATTATTGTTATGGAAGGTCTTCATGTAGCAATGGAAGATTTTGTGGCTCAGGGCATGTTTTGAGGTATATCTCTAGATTCTGGCGATTTGGTTATTTATCACCTTTTCTTCGTGGATGATGTTTTCTTTTTGGGTGAGTGGAATGAGCAAAACATTCGAAATATTTGTTTTTGGCCAAGGTTCTAAATAACGTAAGGCGTGACTTGGCGGCAATGTCAAGCCTCAAGCTTTTCTGAGCCTTGGCGAGCCACGTCGTTTGTAAGCCGTGACATAAGGCGGCAATTTTGTATATAATTAATATTTTTATATGTATTTTCAACTATTATTCATTTTATACACATATATGAGTTAAGGCGGCGTTTTGGTAAAGCTTTGCGGCAGGTACAAGTCTTGGAGCCATAGCGCGTCATGGCGGGCTTTTTAGAACCTTGATATTGGCAGCTTGGATGTGTTTAATCTTGCCTTATATAAGTGGCGGTGGAGGTTTTTAAATGAACCTGATTCGTTATGGGTTAAAATCATTAAGTCTATACATGGTGGTGTTGGTGGTTTGAGGAGTGCTTCTCGGCGTTCTTTAAGGGGGAGTGGCGTTTGGAATAAAATTGTTGGGTCCATAAATAGGTTGCATGATAGAGGTCTGATTCCTTCCAATTATATGTCCATTTATATTGGTAATGGGTCGTTGACTAGTTTTTGGAGTGATATTTGGTGTGGAGGTTTGGTTCTTAGTTCTGAGTTTCACATGTTGTTTGCTTTGTCTACAATGAAGAATGCTCCTGTTTGTGATTTTTGGTCTGATAATAGATGGCGGCTCTCTTGGCAGCGCCCTATTAGAGGTGGAGTGGAGTCGTTGCAATATGATATTTTATTGGAGCTTTTGAGTTCCGTTTCTTTGGCGTATGATCCGGATAAATGGAAGTGCGAACTTGATTCTTCTGCGAATTTTTCTGTTAAATCTACTAGAAAACATATTGATGACCACATGCTGCCAGTGGGTGGGACGGTTACATGATGGAATAGGTGTGTTCCAATTAAAATTAATGTTTTCTTGTGGCGTTTTATGTTAGATAGACTTCCTCTAAGGACGAATCTGGTTAATAGAGGAGTGGATTTGGAGTCGATTCTTTGCCCTTGTTGTCAGGCTGGACGGAGACTATTAATCATTTGTTTTTTCTTTGTCCTTTGGCTACTCAAGTGTGGAATCGTATTTCTTTGTGGCTAGACTTGCAGGTTCCTTGTTTCTCTTCTCCTTCGGAGATGATTAGTTGGATTGATGCTCGTCCGGTTTTTAGAATGGAAAGAGTTATTGTTGAATCGGTGTTTATGACTACCATTTGGGTGCTTTGGGCGTATAGGAATGCAGTTGTCTTTCGTTGTACAAAGTACCGGAAGCAATTTATCTTTGATAATATTGTTGATTTTCATTTTCGTTGGTTTACTTTTCGAAACTCTAGGACTGGGATCAATTCGATTGCTTAGTTAATCAATCCAATTATGTCTTGATCTTATACTTGCTAGCTCCTAGCTAGTTTTAGTTTCTTTCTTTATATTTTGCTGCTGTTAAAAAAAATTGCAAGGGCCAAAACTACATCTATTATAAATTCAAAACTCAAAACTACAGTTATTAAAAGTATAACTATCTTTACATAACAAATACAGGAACCAATGCTATAATTAATACAAATTATAATGTACTGACACCGAAATTATAATTATGAAAATTAAAAACTACAATCTAAATCTGTAGTTATTGAATTTAAAACTACTTAGACCAAAATTGTAATCAACACATTTAAAATAGGATCTAAAAGTATAATTATTTTGATTAAAAACTACAACTACCAAAAATCTAATTGTTCTATTAATTCAAGAGCCACTTCTGTAAATTTCAATTTGTGGCACACATTAACAACAATCCAGCCAAATCGACGGCATCTTTATAGTGTGTAGTAATATTAGAATCATGATAATAAGATCATAAGATTCTACGATCCTAAAACAAAGGAGGATCATGATCTTAGTAAAATTGTTTTTATAGTAAGATCGTATCTAAAATCGTAAGATCACAAGATCGTATAACAATTTGATCCCACCCATTTTTTAATATGGTCATGTGTGTCTAAAAGTTTAAACTATAAGACTTTTCCTAACACTATAAAATTTATCTCACATATTAGTTAATAAATCCAACGTATAGCATTAATAAATTGTCCATTTAGCTTGAAATTTTGACAATTGAGCTTGAAAGTTGAAATCTTGCATTGTTGATCGTATGAAGCCATTGTTTGTTATTCCTTGATTTCATGAATCTACAATTGTTCGCAAATATAACTATTTAGTATGTCATATTTTGATTTCATCATGGTAAATATCTTTATTAAAGAATATAATTATACTATAAAATTAAAACTAATATCAATGTATCAGTTGTCATGTAAGATTATATAAGATAAGATATGCATATTTTAAACTTTATTTACTAATTTTTTATTTTATCACAAGTGTTAGATTTTATATAACTATGAAAAGATAGATGAAGAGGTATTTTTAATCCTAAAACTTATATATATTGTAATTTGGTGAGATCTTTTAAATCTCAATTTAATCTTACGATCACGGTTTGGAAATGAATGAATGAAAAAATAAAGACGTTTACAAAATCCTGACAAAATAATAAAAGTTTAGCTTTTATTGAAATATAGCAAAAATAATTATATTACTTTTCATTTATATATATATATATATATATATATAATATATATATATATATATATATATAAATGAAAAGTATTATAATTATTTTTGCTATATTTCAATAAAAGGTAATATATATATATATATATATATATATATATATATATATATATATATATATATATATATATATATATATATATATATATATAAGTTCATTTGAGACGGATCTAATTTTGTGAGACCGTAAAACCAATTTTTAGTGAAATAATCTAATATTTCTAGTGTTCGTAAAAATATAATATGTATAATATTCTAACATTATATGTTTTAGAATATTTCAATGTAAAATATGTTAAAAATATTGGTTTAGAATATTACAAATATTATATTTTTGATAAACTCTTGAATATTAGAATATTTCATCCAAAAAAATGGTTTTACGGTCTCATAAAAATAAGCCGTCTCACATGAACCTAACTATATATATATATATATATATATATATATATATATATAGAGAGAGAGAGAGAGAGAGAGCTAGGTTCAAATGTGGATTGACATCTATTGTGTGGACGTGTGGATAATGTTATTCTGTGAGAATTACAAAGAAAATATGTTGTTTGATAATATGAATACATTCAATCTTATATAATTATTTTAATTATTAAGCATTTTCACTAATTAAATCGTCTATAAGGTTATTATACACTTTTTTTAATTATTCTCATTCTGTCAGAATGTTATCAGGATGTTTATTGAGTCGTATTCTGTAAGAATTAAAATAAATAAAAAACGATGAATGAGAACAAAAATGAATTAAAATTGGTGAGAATCCATTAAAATAACAATAGGTCTGTGAGATTGAACGTATTCACATTACAAAACAACATATTTCGTTAGTAATTTTCATAAAATAGCATTATCCACACGTCCACACAATAATTGTACATCCACATTATAACCTAGCCATATATATATATATATATATATATATATATATATATATATACAGAGAGAGAGAGAGAGAGGAATGATCATTTGAGAACCTATAGTTTCCCGAGAACCTGAGAATGGTTAGGATGTTTTGTGGCATTTTTGTAAACACCTGGGAAAAAAAAGACACGGGGGCATGTTTTTGAAATGAATCAGGGGTATTTTAGGATAAAAAAATTCGTACCCATTTATCGAACTGAATCACATCAGCCTCTACGCTCTCTCGCCCTCTTCATCCCACCTCTCTCTACCCTTCATTCCACCTCCGACAATGAATCGTAGAAACAATATACTGATGGTGTGTTATGGATCGACAGATCGATGACATTCCTCACCAATGGTGATTTTATTAAAGAGTAGCTAACTAGGGTTTTCGAAGGGTTGAAATCGATTTTGATTTCTGATTTTTTTTATACAATCGTGTTTCCGATTTTCCGATCAGACATGTAAGCGTTGATGAATAAAAAGAAAATCGAATGGTTGTGATGGTGGAATTTGTTCCAGAGCACGCATTAAACAAGCTGCTCCATTGTCCATAATGTCTGGCCCTGAATGCTGCAAGAACCCACCTACACTCTCCTCCGGCGGTGAATCTGGCGATGTCCTGCAGATCGCCTCTCTCAATTCTTACGTTACCGGGAACACTGATTCGAAGATCGCCGTTGTTCTGATTTCTGATGTTTATGGTACACTACTTCACTCCACTCTTAATATTCTTATTTACCAGCTCTAACTACTGTAATCAATGATAAGATTTATATCTAGATGTTCACTAGTCACTCTTACAAAAATTAGGTTTTAATCCATAAATAATTTACTTTTCGAGAAGTCTTTAAAACACCTGTATTTGATTGCAACACGTTACTTAATGTGAAGCCTGTCTCTTAAAATCACTAGTCCTTTTCGTATTTTGCAAATAGTTTGTATGATCATCTGATTGTTGTAACTTGTTTCTGTCTGGTATCTTTTCTTCATGTTATGGAGCTCCAAAATTGAGGTGCTTCTTCCATTAAAGAGTGGAAGTATTCTTTAATGGATGTTCTGCTCTATTTCACATCAGCTTCTTCCATTCAGTGTCTCTTTCCGACTTCTTCTCCTTGATTTCAGGTGCTTCTCTTACCTCTATACCTTAAAAATGTATGTATACGCTTTGTAATCACTTACTTGGGTTGATATGTTTCTCCTTTATGCCTTGTTTTCTCTATTTCGATTTCATTGAGTTTGATTGTTTGCATTTTCCTATGGGTTTTATTGGAGTTATCTAGTTTGGTTATAAATGTGGTTGGGTAAAATAGCTATTTAAAGTTTCTTGGTGGATTAGCAGGATCCACCTGCATGTTTCATTTATACGTTGTGAGTTTTAAATGCTCATATTTCTACATAGGACAAAAATATGAAGATTCAAGCAGAAGCTAAAAAGACAAAGGAGTTCACTAAAGAGCTTGACATGTGATTATTTTTTAAGTTGGATTTGTTTTTTATTTTCATTTTTCTTTTCATTATATTTACTTGTTTTGGTTTTAAATATATACTACAGCTTACCAGATATAATTGATGAAATTGCCAAATAGGATGAAGAAAAAAGCAAGAGACATGAAAGGCGTGATGTTGCCAAAAAAGAAAGACTAAAATCATGTCCATCACATCTAGGGAGACACAAGTAAGTTTAGGGTTGAATTTGTAAAATAGCAATTTTCTTGTTTATAGCAATGTAAGTTTAGGGTTGAATGTGTAGAATTGGGGTTGAATGTTTTTCAAATTTGAACCTACACCTGTTCAAGTGTTGTTATCTGAAGAAATCATTGGTTCTTTAAGGAAACTCAAGGTTTGCATTTTTTACAATTAGATTTTTGTAATGATAATAAATATAGATTTGTTAATGTAATAAATATTATATTATTTTGTAGGCATGTTGCACCCTTGCGAGAGACAGATACAAGAGCCTTGAGAAAAGAGGAATAATTGTGCCTAGTGCTAAGAGTGGCAGGTATTGTTACTCGATCATTTTTTTTCAAACCATGCCCCACATTATTATGTTAAATAGTCTTATTATGTGAAACTAGAATTTGTATGGTATCACATCAAGTGTGTTAACTACATACTGTACAATAATCTCTCACTTATAATTATATTTTTGGTGCCTAATTAGCCAATCATATATATTTTGTGTGACTGGTTAGTATGCTCACATACATTATACTGTTAGCAGCCTTTTGATTTCCATATGAGATTTTTCATTTTCATGCCAAGGCTATGACTACATGTCATCACTTTTTTTATTAAAAAAAACAAATTATTAGTTTTGTAAACAAAATGTGTACACATATCTTACGATAAAACAGTCGTGATGCTGAATTTAATGTGAAAAGGTTGTTTTTTTTTGTTTCATATATAGGAAATGATTAACAACATAGGATGAAACTGATATGCAACAAGATAGAGCTTTTATGCAGCATTTGTGGTGTTCCATATGGAGCGTGTATCCAGGTAACCCCTTGTTATCATTACTTAGATTGGATTGCATTTAACTGTGCATTTTTCTATTTATGAATTATGTTGCAGTGTTCAAACAATGCATGTTATGTTGCATATCATCCGCTTTGTGCTTGTGCTACTGGATTTTATGCTCCTAAACAATGAGCCCACTTTCCACATAACTTCCTTTTTTTTTATTTTACTCTATTTTTTGAGGCGATTTGGCATGATAGGTCTTATCTTTTATAATCTCTGTAAAGGATTACTAGTGTTAGTTTTGATATGTAATTTCATTTTGCAGCTTAAGTGGGATTAAAACAAAAGCCTGGAATGAGTCCACCTCATGGTGCAGACCAGATGATCCAAACTAACAGATTGTTGTGGAGGATATATTTGATGAATATGGTGGACGACTTATGCTTGTTGACATGGTTAGATCAGAAAATATAGAACAAGCTATAGAACAAGCTGGTCAAACTAGATTCAAAGCCAAAATGCAGGTAATTTTCAAGTTGACTAAAACTTTTCATTTGTTCAAAAAGAATTATAAAAAGTTACTAAAAAATTGTTCTTTTTTGATTGATTAATTATTGTTCTTGAATCATATGTAATTCCTCTACAGTAACCTAGAGGGTTAGTGACATTAAGATGTACGATCGATAAAAATCACATGTAATTCACATATGAATCACATGTTATTCACATATGAATTACATGTGATTCACATGTAAATCACATGTAATTCACAAGTGAATCACATATGAATTACATGCGATTCACATGTAAATCACATGTAATTTACATATGAATCACATGCAATTCACATGTAAATCACAAGTGAATCACACATGAATTACATGTGATTCACATGTAAATCACATATAAATCACATGTAAATCACAAGTGAATCACATATGAATTAATGTGATTCACATGTAAATCACATGTCATTCACATATGAATCACATGTAAATCACATATGGATTACATGTGATTCACATGTAAATCACATGTAATTCACATATGAATCACATGTAATTCACATGTAAATCACAAGTGAATCACATATCAATTACATGTGATTCACATGTAAATCACAAGTGAATAACATGTGAATTACATGTGATTCACATGTAAATCACATATGAATTACGTCTATATGCACACATGCATTTTGTGTGTGTGTTTTTCATTAATTATTTTTTAAAATTTTCTTGTCAATTTCACATTTGAATCTTAAAATATACAATCACATGTGAATATCACATTATATAATCGAATTTGAATCTTACATGATATATATATATATATATATATATATATATATATATAGGGAAGGGTTATTTGGAAAACAAAAAAACCCTAAAAAAACCCTAAAAATGCATAAAAATGCATAAAAAAAATACTTAGAGATCACAAAACTTTTTTTTGAATTTTTTTATGAAAAAATCGCAACTTTTTTAATAAAATCGCTGAAAAAAAATAAAAAATCAATTTTTTTTTTCTTTTTATAAAAAAAAAGAGGTTTTTCTTCAAAAAAAATTTCAGCGATTTTGTATTAAAAGCAGCGATTTTTTCATAAAAAAATTCAAAAAAAGGTTTTGTGATCTCTAAGTATTTTTTTTTATGCATTTTTATGATTTTTAGGGTTTTTTGTTTTCCATAGAACCTAAACCTCTATATATATATATATATATATATATATATATATATATATATATATATATATATATATATATATATATATATATATCTTAATTTGCAAATATTATTTTGTGAGTGTAGGTAACTATTCATTGGGTTTTATTATTTCTATTCGAAAAATGTTTAAAACCAGACCTCATAACAATTTTTTAAGCATAATGCAAAACAAATATTTATTTGAAAATAGAGATTTTGTCTTTGATCATAACATATTTTTATATTTACACTTTTTCTCCTTAAGAAATTTTAATCTAAAAGTTTTCGTTGTTTATAATTTTAAAAAATTATTGGTATGTTATAAGTTGCGTTTTTTATCCTTACTTTATTTCAAAGTTACGTTTTTGGTCTGTTACATAATTTTCTTTTTATAGTTTTCGTTTTTATTAATTGCAAATGAGTTTCCGTCATATTCATAATTCAAATATTATTTCTCTCAATTTTGTATAACAATTTTTTTAGGTCGGTAACCTTTTTTTTTCAAAATTTATGTCTTAATACAAATGTTGCTCATTATTTGCCTTTAATAATTTTAACGCACTTTAGAATTCTTTTGTTATGTCATTGTCAAGAAACAATAAGAGGTTTAAAATTTTGTGTCGACTCAAATGTAATAAACTTATAATAGTTTTTTAAGAAAAAGTGCATAAATTATAACAATACATGTCATACAATTACTAGCTCAATAATCTAAATGTAACCCTTGCTACGCAGCATAGGGTGGAGGTGTTTTAGAGGTGTAAGTTTTTTTTTTTTTTTTTTTTTTTTTTTTTTGGAAAAAATGCATAGTTTTTAAGATGATGTTTTTCTGTTAATTTAACATATAAACTTATTTTACTTTCTAAAAAATGAGGTAAAATCAAAACCGTATCTCAATGTAACTTATTTTACTTTTTATTACAAAAAATAATGTAAGACAATTGATAAATTCAAAACCACATCACAATGTTATTACAAATGTAAAACTAAAACTATTCATAATCCATTTATCTTATTCCAACTCCCAACTACAGTCTACAAAGAGGAGAACACAGAATCTAAAAGTATGTAGCCTCTCAAGTAGTTGGGCCAAGACTACCAATTTTCCATTTGCCTAAAAAAAATCATAAACATTCAAAATTCATGAAAATCATTTATGACTTATAAATAAATCGAGACAATATATTTTTATACATGAACAAGTGTTCATCATGAAAAGAAAAAAAGAAAGATGTATCTTTGGAAATGAAATTACTTCTCATGTTTGTTGGGTACAATTCTCATTGTTGGTACAATTATGACATACTCAACACTTGCAATTTCAGGGCTTTTTTCAATATCAACCTTTCATTAGAAAAGAATAATTCTTTAACAAATGTACATACTTCTCTATTATAAAAAATAAATTTTTTTATAAACCCATCATTTTGTTTCCCTTTTTGGTGTTTGAATATAATACAATAAATCTATAAAGATAGTTATAATTGTACCTTTAAAAAATTTATAGACAGATATTTGGCACATAATATATCAAGAAAATGAGATATTTGTCCTGTGAAATATTTGAGGTCCAAAGAGTGAGATCATCGTTAATCCGTTGCAAAATCGGAGTGCTCTCCTTGTAAGATTCTTCCTGTAGGCTATCCAGTTCGGATATGGCTTCATCAAATGTTTGTTTGGCCATGTGGCATGCCCTGATCAGTTTACAAATAATTTGTTAAATGAAAACAAAATATTGAAATATTGATTCGAGCGTATACACAAAGCCTGGGGAATTTTGTTAATGCATTAAAGTCTAAAAATGTATCAGGTTTGGTCGTTGTCATTACCTAACTGGACTTGAAGTATGAGATGTTGAGGAAGTAAGGCTCACAACGGTGTTGTAGATGCACTTCTCTTCAGACATTCTAGCCAAAAATGCTTTAGTGAATGCCCCATGAAATAAATAAAAAGTAAAAAGCCATGCAATTTCTGTAAATTTCAGAAAATATAACAATTCAATTAGTAGAAATTGAAAATTAGTAGAACCTGGGCAACAGATTGAACTTATTGTGTCTACTATCTTCATCATATCTATCTTTGCTCCTAATCAATGGTATTTCATAAGTTCCAACTCAATTCCATTTTGTATTGAGGCTAAGCCGAGTAATTTTAACTTTTGGTTCCCTGTTTGAAGTTGACAGAAAAGTCAAAATTGTTAAAATCTTCCATTATCAAATTACAAGCTACATATTCTCCTACGACTCTAAGTTGTCCATAAGACATTATTCATTATTTAATAACTTTTAACATGCATTTACTATATTCCAAACTTATTTCATGCATTCAACTGAAAAGCAATAAGCACGTATCCATTTACTTTTCTTTTTATGAATTTGAACTCAGGTTTGGAAAATACCTTTCAAGTTTTGCTCTAAATCTATTTTCTTTCGTCTATGGCAACCTCGGTAGCAGCAACAAGGATGCTACCTTCTTTTGTTCCCTCAATTTGAACCACCACCATTTGTAGAGTCATTAGAGGAAGTTGATTTGGAACCTTCATGCTCCATTTTCTATCAATCTCTCTAGAAGGCCAAAAATCTGACGAAGAAAGTTTTGAAGAGTAAAATTGTTTACTTCTACTTTTGTTTCAATTACATACCTTTTGTCTCTCTTTTTTATGTTTATGTATACATAGATATTCTATTCATTAAGATGAGTAGGACATAGCTAAATCAGCAAATGACGATTTCAAAAAAAAAATCTTTTATTTTTCAGGCATTTTATTAAACACCTAGTGTGCTTTATGAGTTTCTTCAATTTTCTGTAAAGTAATCAATACACAGAAACTAGAATGTTTAAGTAATCAACACATACCTGAGCACCCGGATTTGTTACCATTGTGACCAGGTGGGCCATGTGAAGGCCAAGTGCCCCTAGCTTGCTTCCAGGCCAGTGCAGGCTCCAACCCCGGCTAATTTGAGGATCTTGGATGTGAAGACCAAGTGCCCCTAGCTTGCTTACAGACATTTTATTTCTTAAAAAACAAACAACACCTTATTATACCTTACATCGGTGCAATATGATCAAATAAATGTCTATTTATGTTAGAGTTTCAAATCTTTCCATAAATATTTTAGACTACACATATATCTTATATATATTGTGGGTAACTTTCAATTCATTTAACATGTTTCATTTTCAGTCAACTTTACCTAGTTGACCTGCTAAGCGTGAAGTATAATGCATATTGATTCATTTCCAAATAGATGAGTCAAAATTATCAACTTTGTTAACAGGAAGGGATTTTTCTTTGCTCGCCCTCACCAAATCATGAAATGCATTTTCATTTGATGCAACTTGTAACAGTTACTAAAAAACAATTTTAATTAAAACCAACAACAACAAAAAGAAAAGAGAAACGAAAAGTATTGGATGATTAATTCCGACTTGGCAATAATATGTTGTCGTGTGTATCATCATGCAAAGAAGAGCCATACGTCTCATATAGACATATATGGTGTATAATAGACGTGTGGAAGATCCAGTCTCATAAAGTTGTATTTCTTTGGTCTTTTTATGCGATTGACCCCAGGGGTGGACGCAGCCAGCATGATCTCCTATTAGGTATGCCAGTGAAAAAAAAATCTCATGTAGTGACACATTTTTATGTAGTTGTATATTTCTTTTAAATAGTGCCACAATAGTAGAAAAAATTTCAAAATTTTTTGCACTGCTTATAAAAAAACAGACGTTGCCGGTGTCGGTGTCACTACTGGCACCCACATAGAACCGCCCCCGTTTGACCCCTATACTATTAAGTATAATAATTTTCGACCTTTTACATATAAGGCTATCTATTTAGTGCTGTATCTCATATATCCCAATCCCCTTTTGTATGCTAAATCATATTTCATAATAAAGAAAATTAGATTTATCCTGTGTAACTATCATAATATTTTTAATACTTTACACCTTTTTCACCTTTTTACATTTATATGAGATGTGAACTAATAAACCAGTCAAAAAACTTTTTTTTTTGGCTAGAAATACATGTAGATAAAATGGTCTTCATAAAATCATAAATTAACTAGCTTTACAATATAATACAACAAGTTACATGTAAGATAAAAATACCTTAATAAATTAATTGACACCGTGAAAAATAAATTAATTGTTTTTTTTATATAATAATGTGTTTCTTTCTATTATAAAAGTACGATGACTCTTAAGTATTATTTTAGGGAAATCTCCAGAAAAATCTTAAAATTTTATCCTAATTTACGAAAAAATCTCAAACTAAAATTTGTTTACGGAAAAGCATGAATTACTGGTAAAAATGACGATTTGACCCCTTTTTTCCGGTTTACCGGTTTTATTACTTACATGTTTCACTAAAGTCTCATTATTTTAACCTAATTTGCGAATAAGTACCAAAATAAAATTTACTGATGATTTGACCCTTTTCTTCATGTAGCATACATTTTATCGGTTTTATTGCTGACTTAGTCACCTAGTCATTAAATTAGCTAATAAGATGAATACGATGGGTTATATAATGTCACATTTACTGTAAAATTTGATATTCATCTCATCCGCTCATTTATGACTATGTATCTACGTCAACAATGAAACCAATAGAATGTGTGTTTCCAAGAAAAAAGGGCAGGAAATGAGTTGATGTCTGATGAGATGGATATATTGAGTTACATAAGATTAGATAGACAATTTGATATTTCTTATAAACGTAAAAAATATTGCAGTTATTGTTAGTTTATGTAATTATTGTAGTATTCGTTGGATGCATTTTATGTTCCAAAAAGATAACAATACATCAGAATATCAAGTTTTATGCTAAACATAGCATTATATAACTCAACATATCCATCTCACATCTCATTTAATGACTAGGCGTCCGGGTCAGCAATGAAACCGGTAAAATGTATGTTACATAGAGCAAAGGGCCAAATCATCAATAGATTTTATTTTGGAACTTATTCGCAAATTAGGGTAAAATAATGGGACTTTAGTGAAACATGTAAGTAATAAAACCTGTAAACCGGAAAAAAAAAAAAGGGTCAAATCGTCATTTTTACCGGTAATTCATGCTTTTTCGTAAACAAAATTTAGTTTGGGACTTTTTCGTAAATTATGGTAAAATTTTAGGACTTTTCTTGATATTTCCCATTATTTTAAAAGAGAAATTAAAAAATTAAGCTAAAAGACTAATGACTTTTCATTAAATAGCTAAAAATTAGCCAATATCCCATAATAGGCTAATAACCATCTATATGGCAGCTAAGCCTGACACACCTATGGTTTCACATGAAACCAAGCCAAAAATACTTTATATTATATTTATTTTACAGTCTCATTTATGATAATCTACTATTATAATAAATGAATATTCATTTTGCCACATATCAATCTTTCATGAGTTCTGACACTTATCATTTTATAAAAAAAAATTAAATAAATAATGTCCACATGTCAATTTCTGAGTTTTTTTCAAATTTTAAAATTAAAAAGCCGCATCCTCTCTAATAAATGAAAATAGGTTTGCCACATGACATTCTTTCATTCAATTTGCCAAATGTAAATTTGTGGAATATTTTCCACTTGTCACTTTTCATTTACTTCATTTTTTTATTTTTCATTTTTGTTTTCCAATATATCATTTTCCATAAATTAAATATACCATAACGAATATATTAATTTCAATTTTCCAATTTTAAATTACAATTTAAATTTCTAATGAATTACAGTTTAAACCTTTGTATTTAACATTTTATTATAATTAACCTGTTTAGTACACGGGTCTACCAACTAAACACGTAATTTTTAATTTATTTATTTTTCGCATGTTTATTTATTTTTAATTTTTTTCTCATAATTTTCACTTATTTCAAATTTTAAATACAAATAAACTTCATGTTACCTCTTTGTATTTAACATTTGTTTTAATCAACCTGTATAGTATACGGGTCTCACACTTAGTAATACTTATATACTTATATATTTAAAATAATAAATGTAATAAATATGATAGTAAATTGTAATTAATACATTTCTTTATCCTTTATTTCAATATTTTATTTAAAAAATACTTATTGTTTACATTTTGATATTTAATTTTTTTAATTAACCCGTGTAGTGCACGGGTTTTACACCTAGTTTAAAATAAATTATTGTACTGTTAATAAAAAACACAGCATGCCCGTAACTGATAGTTCATAGGTTAGGTAAATAGGCTCAATAGTTTAAGTTTAGCCAGTAAAGATTAATTAAAAAAAAAATAAAAGTAAAAACTTGAGTTTTTAGAGCATCTTCAACTCACTCTTATTTTTAATTTTTTTCTCCTATTTTTTGTTTTATTCTTCTCCAACCCTCTCCTATTTATTCAGCCATTTTAGGGATATGAATAGTATTACACCAAATATGGTGTTATAATATTCATTTTTTTCAAAATGGGGATGAAATTTGTGTTGTCGGTTTTAGTCCTTCTGTTTATATATTTACACATTTTTAGTTTATTTTTACCTATTAATTATACTTTAAATGTAATATTTAATACTTATAATATTTTGTTATATATTAAATTATATTAATTAATTATAAATATAAAGTTTGTTTTTTGTTCATCAAATTCATATAAAAAGTTATATACATATTGAAATTTTAAAAAACGATAACGTATTTTACAAAAGCATATAAGTGTGTTATAAATATAATCTTTTATTTATTTAGTATTATTGTAATGAAAAAATATAGATTATATATTTGTTAAAACCAAATTAATAGATGGGGTGTGTTTGATAATCTATATAAGTTGAAATAATGGAATATATATAATAAGAATATACTTTTTGGGGTAAAAAATATGGTAAAAATGGAGTAGGGTTGGAGATGATCTTATCTAGAAAAACATTATATATATATATATATATATATATATATATATATATATATCTATATATATATATATATATATAGGGCTTACGGATTATGTGGATGTTATATACCTAAGCTTATATATAGAACCCTCCAAAATATGTAGTTTTGATCCATTTATATCCAAACTAATCATGATATCTTTTTTACTATTCTTACTTAATCATGTAACTTGCTAAATCGATCAAATTTATGTTCTTTTTATCCATTGTGTCTAATAACTTAAAGCATTAAAAGTCATGATCATTTAATCAACCCTACTAAATTTTAAATAAAAACTAATAGAACAAAAGATGAAAGAATAACATGCAATAACCAAATCAAGTATTTCACAAATCATTCGACATACTTTTTCAATTGAATGACAAAACATTTGAGTTATATCTATTAAAAAAATATCTGTGTTTTTACTTTCCCTTAAACTTCAGTGATTTTTTTGTAATAAAAAGATATACAATTGATCTTTTTCATTCCATAATTTTACTCAATTCAATAGTATTTTATTAAAACAAAATGAAGAGAAAATGAAATTGGATTTGTTTTGTATAAAACTACGTCATTTAAAAGGTTCTATACATAAGCTTAGATACATAACAGCCACATATTCACTTTTTCCATATATAAATAAATATATATATATATATATATATATATATATATATATATATATATATATATATATATATATATATTGTGACAACTCGAAATTTCTAACTTGTGTAAACATTCAAATTTATCACTGTTAGACTCATTTTGCTCCCAATTATCACTGTTTGGAACCTGTTTTGAGTATCCTAACTCTAATGAATCAAAGGAATTAGTATTTGGAAGTGTCAGTTTAAGTTCTAAACTACCTAGCAACTGTAAACCTCCTCAAAAAGGAGTTTACGGTCGAGACCTTGAGTTTACGGTCAGAGTAACCATAAACTCCTCCCTATATATATAATGGTTGATCATTTCAGCCATTCTTTTCACTTTAAACACTTCAAAGGCTTTCTCTCTCTACTCTCTCTACCTTCATCGGGTTCCTCCAAGATCTTCAAGAACACGGTTGACCGAAAACACCTTCTTTGCCTTTAAAAACCGTAAGTATCATCTTCCCCTTCATAAATCGAGTTAAAATCCTTCATTTTGGACTTAAGATCATCACTCTTCGCTTGAACAAAAGGGTTTAC